AGTGCAAGAGTATTTCACACTGAAGTATTCATTTAAGTTAAACCTCTGGGTATTGCTTTTCATAACGGCCCGTCCACACAGCAGCGTTAAGAAAAAATCTTCAACGCTTCTGCCCATCACTTGAATGGGGTGACGTCAACTTTGCCTCACTTTTCTCAGAACCTGCATTGCTTGGGGAAGCAAGCGGAGATTTCCAGCATCTCAGGATTCAAAGTTGAGCAATGTATCAACTTTCGACAGCTGAGGGGAGCATCAGCCAATCAAAATCCCGTTTTTGCAAAATCTGAACAGTACAAGCGCTAGCCAACACACCGACCGTGTTAGCTGGGATGTGACATACCGCAGTTCCATTTTCTAGTATTCCTAATAAAATGGAGGAGAAGGAGTATATTGCAGGGTACAAATTCACCCGATTCTTTATGACAGTCCCTATCTTAACTTACCGCGATACAAACCGGAGGAACCAGGGCATGGAGGGACGGTGAGAGACAGTGGGTGAAACTGTAGGTTTTCGCCTGTTTGGGGATTTTATATCCAGTTTAATTCGTTTTTAACATTGCTATTTGCTGTATGTCGGGGGCGGGGGAGATTCATTGTGACTTGGTTTGTTGGTCACGGTGCTCGCAAAAATCCCCAAGTTCAGGATACGGCCCACCTCCAAGATTTTTTTCCGCTGCTGTGTGGACGTACCGTTACGGCCCCGTCCCCACACTACGGCCCTGTCCACACTACGGCTTTCGACAGCTTCAAAAACGGTTTTCCAACGCGTCTGCCCATTCACTTTGAAATGAGGACGACGTCGCGTTGCCTCGCTCTTCGCCAAACTGAATTGTGGGTAGCAGAGCGAAGCTTTCCTGGCGTTTCAGGCTGCAAAAGTTGAGCAATGTTCAACTTTTGAAGCTTCTAAAGCTTTCGGTGGAAGCGTCAGCCAATCAAATCATATGCCAGTACAAGCTCTAGCCAATCAAACCGCTGCTTGTGTGTCAGGGGCGGGAGATTCATGTGATTGGTTGTTGGTCAAGCTTCAGACACGCCCGCCGGCAAGCTTTTTTTGAAGCTGTAGTGTGGACGGGCCGTTATAGTGTTGCTTTTCCCAATACACCAACTAATTGCTTATGGGAAACTGAGGCCTACTGCATTTTTTTTCCAAGCTAAATGACATATCTTCTTCAGTCAAAAATAATTTAAAGAGTGGGAACGTTACTTCTTTAACATTCGACAATAATCTTAACTTCAGTCTTTTATCGAGAAAACAAATCCATAAATATACTTCCATAAGGATTTATCCTCTCCCCTCGGCCAGCCTCTTTGCACTGTGCCGTTTGATGGACATTACTGTGGCTGGAAGTGGAAAGAGAGAGCGAGTTGTTGGCAGCTCTTTGCAGCAGCACCCTGTTATGGCAGTCGGTCAGTCCCATTAGAGCCGTCTCTCTGAGGGTGACGAGGAGAATTTGCCGCATGAACCATGACCCAATTAATCATGGGTGCAAATACAGGAAATGGGGGGAGGGGGGGGGTGAGCACTTGATTTCTTTGTGTAAACATCTAGACACACTCCACTAGACACATTCATCATAAATGGGCCGCTGACATTAGCATGTTTCAAAGGCAATGCCCAATGCCAAGTCACAAACTTTCATTTCAATTGGTTTCAACTCTTTGAAAAACAGTAATTCTAATCAGATCTCACTTATTTTGATGTTTTTAACAATACTGCTGAATTATGAGTAGTACTAGGACCATCTCTACTACTTTAAATGGTACTGACTACATGTTGCCGGGTACATCCTTTAAACAATTAAACATGTTTGTTTCCCATTCCATATTTGGAGATGTAAAACAAATGGTCTCACAACAACAACAAAAAATGATAGATTTTATAATAATTATTACGTTTCCTTTTAAATGGATGCACATTATGTTGTATTATTTTTGCTATTGCTGTATGCACATGTGTTTTATATACACTCAAAAGAAAAATGATTGCGCTTTACTCAGAGCAATAACCACACTATTGCAATTTTCTCCAGATTTAGAATCCCCCGTAGGGCTGAAGCAAAATAAAAGGAGGATGGAAAGGGTGCAGAGTGGTGGTGCTGCTGGCAGTGGTAAGAAAGCAGCCCTGCTATGATGTTTGGTGTGGGGGGGGATAGTATTACATGCCAGCAGCCCGCTGGCTTCTCCTCCTTCTGTAGGCTGTGAGTCTGGAGGAATGTGCCGCCTGAGAACCACAGGGAGGAAGAGGGCACTGACAGCGAGCAGTAAACACACTGTTTGTTTGTTTCTTTGTTTGTATGTTACTGTGCATGAAGGCCCGTCCATTGCAGCTTCAAAGAGGATCCTAAACAACATCTGTTCTGAGATTTCGGAGCCCTATACCGACATGTCGGGACACATCGTGACTTACAATCCAGGCTCTAAATCAATATTTTCCTCCATCTCATACTGGATTGTTCCACTGGCAAGTCTTCAAGAATGGACAAGCGCTCATTGAGGAGAGGGAAAAAATGTTGGATCGGATAGACGGGAGGGACGCATCGCATTTTTCCAATTCACCACAATCAGAAACAGATTTCCAAGAATTAGTCTGAACTAACTTTATAAGTTTATTCACTAAAAACGCAGTGACGGCGCCTTTTAGACGACTGGAGGAAAACAATTACTACTGATTGTGTTTGACTGTCTGCAGGAAGTTGTTTTGTCACAACATGACCAAGTGTGCAATGGGTGTGATCACTTTTGTCTTTGTTAGTTGTCAGTCTTTTCTTTTGCCATTTTCAAAATTAATTGTATTGTTCATTTCCAGTTTTTATGTAATTTGAATTTACTTTTCTATTCAAATAAAGAACAAAAAAATATCATAATTCTTTCATTTTTCCTTTATTTTCCTACATCCAGTATGTTTATACTTCTAACACTTATGAAATAACCTGTTATTTTCTCAGAACCTTCTCCATTGAAACGTCTTCCTCCTATCTGTAAACTACAACTCCAGAACGACCAGCCTCTGAATTGATTGTTAGCTGCGGGGCCTCGAGTATTAATCTCTTTCAGTGTGTAATAAGTGAATTAGTGGGATGTAGAAGATGATGTATGACGAAGGCTGGCATGTCTAAAATCTGCTGTAAATCCACATGCCACAGCCTCTTAATAATGTGGCCAGAAAACTCCCGGCATCATTCCTCACTGTATCCATCGACAACCTGAGACTAATAAATCTCTCCGAGTTAGACAGTGCTCCGGGTTCGCTGTTGAGGCATTTGTTCTAAAAGGAAAACTGCGTTAAATGCATTGTAAAATATCCCGGTTAATTTTAAAGGACTTTTGAACATAATCCTTCTCAAAAGTAATTAAGTCCATTCAGTTGGAGCAATTTTATTAGCATTGGTTAAAATGAGAGTTTTGGCACCCCCATGTTTTTTTCAGATTTGGAATAATCCCAAACATTTAAGTAATTTCAATGAATTAGGCAATAATTAGTTTTTCACAACATCAACTATGTTGCTATTCAACGCAGGACGATTTTTTGGACATTTATTTTGTGTCCCTGACTGTGACCTCCTGCTGCAGCCCACATAAATTACATTGAGGGAATTAGAAAGTAATTAAAGATGGGTAGCCGTTTCTGCAAATCCAAGTGTAGCTGTGTCGTTGGCTTGGGTGTGCTGTGTGCTTTTAACTTTTCCCATACGTCAGATGCCTTCCCAACCTCCAGTCTCCAACCCCCCACCACAACAGCTGGCGTCTCAGCGAGGGCCCTGGCGTTACACTGCCACCCCAGCCTTTCAGTGCGGATCAAGTATTGTGGTGTTGGGGGCCCCTAATGGCCCTCTCAGAAAAATGCACACACTACACCCAAATGCAAGCAAATGATGTGATCCTTCATACCATGCACCTTTGGAAACATGGGAAAAGTATATCCACATGAATGCAAGTGTGTTTTATTTTCCATAAACATCTTAAATGTGTCATGAAAACTGATGTTTTGGAACAAACATTAAGTTAATCATTCATGACTGAAATGTGTGATTTTTTTTGAATGCACACCCTGTAACATGAACAACAAATAATGCTTGGAGATGTTTGCCTCTCCAAGAAACTCACTGTTGTATAATGTGCATCACTTGTGACAGAACAAAACAAACAACTGGGTTCTATTCGTTCCACGATAAGTTTAAAAACTTGTCCCCGTTGTTGAATTCAAAGTCTGGATTAAAGGATTCTGCTGGCTGTTCCAGTTTATTGATGTAAAGCAAGTGTTCAATATTGGTTCCCTCCGTAGTCTAAAATAAAACCAAGATGTTCCCTGTGTAGGATTCAAAATTGCAGGCCACCTTTGGCTTTTTTATTAAAAACATCAGGTTCTTATTGACTGTCCCAAAGACTTGTTTAAAAAATAATTTCTTATTGGCTGTTAAGTAAACCTGATTTACACTCACTTCTAATAAAGCCTTGTGTTTCCTGGAAGGAGCTGCTGTATTTGAAGTTGGGCCAAATAAAGCCAAGGTGATACTCTGATGTGATAATCTGGCACATATTTTCTACTCTTAGTCAAAGCTAATTTTATTTTTAACTAACTTCCAGTTTGACATTAAAAAAAAATAAATACTGACTGGAAATATTTATTGGTAAATGTGATTTCACGTCACAGGAACATATGGTACCCTCTTATTTCCAGAAATATTCCTCCTTCTACCAAGTTCCTGCACTCGATTTTAGTAAATCAAATTACACTTTTGCTTTGACTCAGGCTGAAAGAAAATGCTGAATAACTGAATTTGTCAGGAAGACGCCCGTGGTATAGGATCTAAAGTGACCTGTGGTGAACTTGAGCGCTGTGTTTTTGCTGTCTGTCAGACTCTGTAGGACCCAGCGGAAAAGGAGGGAGCCGGAGCATGGGAGAGGGAGAAAGCTGCGTGGAGAGGAGACGCTCTCAGATCAGTCAGTGGCTTCATGGAGTTATGTACCTCTGATCCGCCGCCATGGATTGCAATCCGCGATCACTCCTTTTCATTTTACCTCTTTTATTGTCCTGCGTTATTTCTACGTGTGCCGTCATCTACGCTCCTAATGAAGGTAAGTCAGCTCTCAGTCTGCGGTGTTTACGTGTGTGCAAATGGTGCGCTATATACGGCACATATCGCGGCCAGACCGTGCGCTCAACGCGGACTTCAACTGTCCAAATTATACTGATAACAATAACAAGATGAGAGAAAGCGCGTGGGGGTGACCGAGGTTTCACGGAGAGCCAGGTTGTAAACACTAGTAGACAATAATTAGATAATAAACTTAAAAGTAGATCTTAACAAGGCAGACGGAGAAGCCTGGATACGGATAATCTCGCGCACGGGGGGTTAATAGTTGTTTAAATGGGGATGAGTGAACTGAGCGATGGCGAGACAGCGAACATCGCAGAGTTATTATGAAGCGTAGATATCGAAAGAAACTCCGTTTCCGTGTTTCCATTTGAGGTGCACGTTGGTCTGTTTTAGCCAATAATCCATTTGGGGTGGACGCCCCAGTTCCGCTATCAGTCTCGCCGATTTATAGGCAATACATAGAAGATGAGCTCAATCGCATTGTGCTTAAAAACGTGATTGTCTGTTTTCACGTATTTTACCTGAATACATCCAAAATAGTTGACTCGCGGGCTGCTATGTAAACCGTCTGTCGTTTGAAGTGGTGTTATAACTAGGCTATGTTTGGAATTATATTTGAATCAGAGGTTACATAAACTTACATTTAAAGGATGAAAAATGACGACTGCGCACACGACTTAATTTCTTCTATTCCAATTGCAAGTTTCGGTGATTCTAAGCATGTGGCAATATTTTTAAACCCACACCAAGACAGACCGCTTTACGTTCAGCAGCCGCTTCTCCACACACGTGAAACTGCGGGGAAAACAAGTCAACCGGTCTCTTTCTTTATTTGCTCCACTTTTTTCTACTTTTTAATTCTTTACATTGCTACTTTCACGCCCTGCCCTGCATACTTGTCATGGTGTGTTTTGTACCCGGGTCAAAGTAAAAAGGAATGGCACACGAAGGTTTCCTGAGTCCTGTAAAGGTTAAAACTGCCCACAGGGAGGGAGGAACACATTTGTGGGGAATATGTGGGTCAAGCTGTCTAAAGGACTACATTTAATTATTCCCTCTAAAGAATAATATACAACGAATAAATACAATCCTCCCTGACATGAATGCATATCTCGTCCTTATTTGAAATCAGTTAATCAGTTTGGACGATACAAAGTGATTCAATCGTTGAGACCAATAAAGTAATTACATTAATCTGAATGAGCCTTTAGTAGGCGTAATCTACGCTTCTCTAATTAAATGAAGGCACTGAACCATGTCCCTATAAGAATATGAGTAAATCTGGTGTCTGTAGCTACGATACGTTTGTAAAGTTTTAGACTGTAGGTCAGAAGAGCAATCTTAGTCTTATAGAAAGGGAAAGTTATCCAAAACATGCTCCTTAGCCAAATAAACCATCGACTTTTGAGTTGGTTTATAATCAATACGAAGTTTAAACGTAAACATGATTACGTCTCCTCAACGAACATGTTTGTTGTATGTTCATCTGACATAAGAAAAATGCCTTGCTTACACTTCTATCCTTGTTTGCAACGTTATAAAAAAGCATCTGCTCTGCGTAAATGTGAATGGAAGATATCAGTAGGCTACATTTCATGTAAGATTCTATAGACGGAAGTATTGGAAATCTTGAAAAAAGTGTGTTCAATTCAGTAGAAGTGACAAGGTCAGCTGGCCTACAGACAATCTGTTCTGTGAACTTGCTTTACCCCGAGATAACTTTGGTTTCTTACAGTTAGTTAGGTGTAAGTATAGTTTAATGAGGTATAAAGCTGATGGATATAGTAGCAGAGACTCCAGCACTGAACAAAGAAACACAACCACATAAAATACACATCACCCCTGAGAAAATATACACTCTGCCGGTGTGTGTGTGTGTGTGTGTGTGTGTGTGTGTGTGTGTGTGTGTGTGTGTGTGTGTGTGTGTGTGTGTGTGTGTGTGTGTGTGTGTGTGTGTGTGTGTGTGTGTGTGTGTGTGTGTGTGTGAGAGAGTGAGAGAAAGAGAGAGTGGAGAAACTTGTTATACAGACAAAACAAAAAGAAAACTAACAGTTTGCAAGTTATTAAAACGTAAAATTGCTAGCTTTAAACTAAGAAAGTACCATATCAGGTAATTAAATGCACCTTCCTTACGACGTAAATCTGCCAGAGAGTGTCAGTATCGAGCCACTGCGCCTCCATATTGTAGCCTATAAATTAATACAGACTGCTACACCGCAAATATTGACCCTGTAAAAAGATAAAGCTGCTTATCATATAGGGTTGAACTGTTTAAGTGTTGTTGCAAATGGATCATCCCGCTCTATAAATCTGATTATGCTCCACTTTCCAGCCTCAATCACAGGTCAGATCTATCGTCGTTGTCTTCACTGAAGCAAGAAATCATAAAGAAGATCATAAAGTTATACACTTTCTGAGCTGGGCCACATTATCCTCATGGAACACAGTAACAAATATAACTTTCACCACTACCTTATACCAGATTTTGGATTGATTCACTACTTTCAAAAATTCACTTTTAAAGTCACTAAACGTGCCATGGAGTGTGCATATTCTTCTTTTTATAGTAGCCTAATAATTATTTTTTAAATATTCATATTTAGACGTCAGTGTTCACACGAGTGAAAATAAAAAGTATACTGGATTTCATTTTTATACCGACAGTCTGCTGCCGATTTAATCTCGCCTGTCACGCGCAGCGGATCATGGAGGAGTTTTCAGAGTTACGAAGGAGGACTGTTTACAAACTTGAAAATCGATAATCATAACAAATATATTGTGTAAATGACATCTATAGCCTTTATTTAATTTATATCACTAATTTAGAAAAACAATTAAAGACCGTCATTCAACTTGGACTTAATGAGATTTTTCAGAGACCTAACTTGGAATACTTTAATCATTAAATGGAAAACAAACCTCATCTGTGAACAGGATGCTGGGGAATTCGTCTAATTATTTTATTATTTCCTTTCCCATTTATCAGCAACCTATAGAGGTCTAGTTATGTATCTTGCAATCTCGTGCTCGCTCTTGGCACCGTGCTTTCACCAACATTAAAAAAAAGAAATCTGTGTGCCTTTCATGAGGTCGTTAAGATCGTATATAAAACTTTGGGGCAGTGTTGAAGGAAATGCATGCGGAAATCCCCGAGAATATCATTTGTTGGCGCGGGTGCATTAGCTAGAACTTTGGGGCACATTTGACATATCAGATATTATCAGAAAACATTTTCCCCCATATTTAATCGAAAAAATAAATAAATACCGTTGTGAGTTTCCCTTAGCTGTGGTGCAGCGAGTTCCCTTTGCGTGCCTTGGTGGTGTGATGTTGGCCCGCTGCGGGGCGTCGGGAGGCCTCGGGTATTTTTAGCCGGTTGTAGGGAGCCTTGGCCCGGAGAGCCCGGCGCTGCAGCTCCGCTGGGACGGATGGGCTTTCGTGAGCGATGGTACCTTTCAGAGGTGCTGGAAATGTGCTTACACATGCCCCTCCTTTAAAAATAAACCATGTCTTCTACAGTATATCCCTGTATTTGTTTGCCAAACATTGAGCTGATGATCGAGAGTGTCATCTTCAGTTTAATAGCATTTGTTTCAGGCTTCACATTTAGACACAAAAGAAGGTTTGTGTTTCTGTTTTTTAGTGTATGTGGGCTTATTTGTAGAGATATTAGGTTATACAGAATGTGTGCAGAGGTGCTGTGCCCTTATTTGAGTCTTGAAGTCTATGTGTTTTAATGCATGTAGGCCTATGTGAGAAGGTATAGGGGTATAGAAGCAAGAAAGATAGACAAATAGAAAGAAGGAAAGACAGATACAAAGAAAGAAAGAAAGAAAAGAAAGAAAGAAAGGCGAATGGGGGCAGAGGGGTTGGGCGAGCAGCAGCAGCAACATCAGACAGAGCGACTCTGCACTTGAATAATTCATAATGGGAGGTGAACACTTCACCCTTTAACACAGACACAAGTCGCCTTGCTTTGCCTGCACTGCGGCCTGCCAACCTGCACACAGCCAGGCTGCAGCCCTCAACACTTTGTTCACAGCTACAGGGGCGATATTACTCAAACATATGCATGCAAGTTTTTTATTATAGCCCCCATCTATTCTGAGTTGAGTGACTTAGTCCATATGGAAGGCTCTCCGCTTTACTGATCAAGCCATGTGTTGATTCTAGCCCAGCGTCTCTGACTGACAGCTTCTTCTTCCGCTCATCCCACATTTTAATTGTGTCTGTGCTGTGGCTGAGGATTACATTTCCATCTGCTGTGAATCGTTTTTTCCCCTTTTTTTTTTCATATCATCATATTTTACTGGAGGTGAGGGTGTATTGAATTCAAGTTTCTGCTACCCATTAATGGTTAACTTAGCTGTTAAATTATGAGAACATAGACATCAAAATAGGCACCCTGTAGATCTTTGCTTCAATGTTTCCTGTTAATATTTCAACATATGCTATGCCAAGCGATAGTAGGTCACTAGCAATTGGAAAAAATGGCATAGCTACGTGACGTGTCTCTTAATCTATTTGCAAGGTGCTCATTATATTTACTGGCTGGGTGATACAGTATACAGCATGCATTCCCATCCGTTTATGAAACCTCTCAGGACATTTTAGCTGCCTGTGGCATGGAGTCTTCTCATACTTAAGGGTTTATCAGGGTCAGTTTTTGTGTGTGTGGGCGTCTTAATGTTGTTGGCCTATGGGTATGAGTCTGTGTATTGATTCACCTGTTTCTACCTCTGTGATGTTGTGCTCCCTCCCAGACAGGCTGGCTCAGTTTGCTATTAATACTCCTAGTTCCCGTTCAGAGGCACTCCCTGATGGGGCAGGGGCTATATGCTTGGCTGAAGCTAGCTTGCTAACCGACTGTGTGTGTGTGTGTGTGTGTGTGTGTGTGTGTGTGTGTGTGTGTGTGTGTGTGTGTGTGTGTGTGTGTGTGTGTGTGTGTGTGTGTGTGTCTTCCTTTCTCCACTTTCCCTTTCAGGCTCTTTTCTTGCTGATAGTTATCAGACTTGCCTGAAGAAAATTTGGATTTCTATCTCACCCCCCCTTGTTCTATGTGAAACAACAATCATTTGGACTGGCAAATTCACTTTTCTCTGGAATTGTAGTTGTTGTTGCTGTGAGGGAGTTCATTTTGTTCATTTTGTTGGACTGAAATAGTTTTCCCAGTACAACAGGAATCCTTCATGACCCACAAACACTCTCTTTAGCTGTCTTTGGAGATATGTACGCTCCTGCTTAGTGAAGCTTTGAATGGGAGAGTACAGGGAGATTGTATTCCTCATATTTTACAGTGAATAGAGTTACAGCTGCAGGGCCTGACAGCGCTGCTGCTTCACTTTGTTGTGTGTGTATGCACTCGATTGGGTAAGTGTGTGTAAGTGTACACTTGTTTGTGTGTGTTGAGCTGAGGACTGAGTTGCTCTCAGCAGGATGAGGGAGGGGCTGACTCAAGCTTAAAGGAAGAGACCTTTGGAACGGTGGAACTATATTGTTTTACCATCTGTTTACTGTGGCGGGTTATTTATATTTTGCTTTTTCATTCAGGTCACTCGGTGTGCATGTGATTAATCCCACTGACATGGACATTTGTGTTTTTTATAGTGATTGCAAAAAAATATGGTACAGTAAATACACATGAATCACTTTAGCATACCCTTTAACAATTTGTACCAGAAAACAGGCTTTTAGCAAAACATTAAAAAAATAAACAGAATATCTTTATGGTATGCATTTTTTTACAATTCCGCCTACTAGTTTATTTGTTGATGTCAAACTAAAGCAAGGCATCATATATATACGTTTTGTCTGGCTTCTGTTTGGCAGAAATAATGAAAACAAATAACAATCAAAATTCAACATATAATTGATTTATTATGAATATTTCCAAGTTACTTCCACTAGCTTTTTGTAGCAGTATAAACAGTTTCTGTATTCTGCATTTAGCTTTTGTTTTATGATGATCCCAAACAGTATCTGGGGATAATATGCAGTTTTGCTTCTAATGTGGGGAATCCATAGAGCACAATGATGCATTTACATTCCGCTCTCCATATAACACTACTGACAGTTGTATACAATGACAATAATTCACACCACTGCCATGTGAACATACTAGAAATAGAAAATCTTGTTCCTCATTAATTATATTCTTGAGGAAGACTATATGGAGCTGTTTTAGCCATTGTATATAAAGGGTTGGTAAACATAATGTAAATTAGTCCCAAACAATTCCTCACCCTAAATCATATCATGCTTTTACTTTGGCATATTCACCAAATGTTCACCATAAGAAACCCAAAGCCTTAACTTGCTTCATCACGCTTTAAAATCTTCGGATTTGTCATGTTCCATCTCTTAGAAATGGATTTCCCTCTTTCCATCTTGGTTTCGGTTTGATGTGAATGAATTATAGGTGGGACTCGTATTTCCTTTCATTATAAATTGAGTTATACTTTGTTTTCAGTATGACCAATCGCATTTCTGACCACCTTGGAAACTGGCGATTTCATCGGAAATTGATGAAGTTTTGCTTTACCTGGTAACAGTCCAATCACCATTGGTGTGTGTGTGTGTGTGTGTGTGTGTGTGTGTGTGTGTGTGTGTGTGTGTGTGTGTGTGTGCTTAGAATAAACTGGTTTAAAACTGTAAGACAAATAAAAAATAATGGCTGTGTATTTTCAAAAATGGCTCTACTTCAGTTCAATGTTACATCAGGATATCTGAACCTCCGCTTCGATTCTTCACAATGCAATACAAGAAAGCCGCTACATTTTCTCTAGCATGTGATATGGGTGGCGCATGTGTGTGTGTGGCAGCTGCGTCAATAAAGTCATGATCAATGCTCGTTGGTGATCCCCCCTGTGGGAATAGAAGAAGACTAATTGGGGCTAACAAGGACTAGACATTCATGTTTTCTCTTCCTCTTCTTCTCCACAGTCAACCTGTTAGACTCTAAAGCAAGCCAAGGGGAGCTGGGATGGATTTCCTACCCACTGCATGGGGTGAGTATCCTCTGTCTCTACATCCACCCACATCATTTCTGAACATGCTTACATCTGTGTGGGGGGGCAGATCCACCAACACACACTGGATGTTGGATTCAACGTCACACCACATGAAATCCGGATTTTCAAACTCCTGTGGTTCTCATTATGTTATGTTGACCCAATGAACCAAGTGCAGATTAACCCACTTCTCTTTAGACATTTTTCTGTCCATTCTTCGTCTCTTAGGTTAAAGGGTTAAGCATTCGGGGCTCGCTATATGGTCAAGATGCTTAAGGGAAACTGTACTCTGTGTTTGTGTGCTTGAGTGTGCGTGTGTTTTATGTAAGATTAAGGCATTAACAGATTTGAGGTTGTAGACATAAAAGCATCCACACAAGAATGTAGATAAGCCCCTTTTAAGTGAATACAACATCAACAACTGATATCATTTGACTTGTGTTGCATGTAAAGATAATGGTGCCATTGTTGGGATTTCACTTGTTAATCCATTTGTTCTACACAACACGCACAGCCTCATTCTGTCCGTCACACATGCTGTAACACAGTTCATTTAACACACATTTTACAAGTTTGTCAGTGTCATGCGTTGATACAATTATCTTTTTTTATTCACCATACTGTATATATTTTGGTATTGAAATACCGGAACAAAACAATACAATAACATGTGAGAATTGTACAGCTTTTTTTTAAAACAGCTAGCAATTTTGCAGCAACAAAGTTCCAAACATTTGAAAACAAATCTCTGCAGCCTCATCTATCATCTCTCTGCTACCCCTCTACTGGGCTCTCCCTCACTGTTTATTTGCCTAGCTAGTTAGACTACTGTGCCTTAGGGCTGGCCCACTGACACACACACACACACACACACACACACACACACACACACACACACACACACACACACACACACACACACACACACACACACACACACACACACACACACATACTTCCTAGTTTTTTTTCCTTTATTAAGTGTTAGAATTACTCCTTGGCAGTAGCTTAAGGTAATCCAGTCATTTGTTCCGTGGAGCTGCCAAACCTTGTTTCCCTCGGCCGTATACAGCGCTGGTACCGTTTCTGTTTGAACCACAAGGAAAAAAAGGACCCTATAGAAGAAAAAAAAACAGCGTGCTCTTTAAAGTCATTTAGTCTGAAAACAATTGCAGGCTACAAAACAATAGCGTGACTATTTGAAAGGAAGAGATTGATGTTGCGCTGATAGAAGTTATTCACGTGTAGGAATATCCGTTTACCAATATCGAGGACTTGATCCAGCGCTGGACGTAGGAATGTGTGGCGGAGGTTTTGCAGTGTTCACAGTGAGCTCTGCTTTATTTCAAGTTATTTGCTTTGAATGAGTTCAGATGAGAAGCGTGTGGTTATACAGTTCTTGAAAATGCGGCAAGAATAGAAGCCAATGTCAGCCTTAAATGAGAATGACTCCAGAAAGAGAGGGGACAGGAGAGGATCAGAAAGAGGGAGAGAGAGAGAGGAAGAGAAGAGGTGAGAGGGAAGGACAGCAACGGATGAGAGAGAGAGAGAGATATTGCTGATGATCAAGTCCTCAAGGTGAATCATCTGTAATTACTCACGTCATCCACTGACTGCACTCCGATAAGCAGCCTGCCCTGGGAGACTGCTGCTCACAAATGATTTCTCATAATGTGGCAGTGGCACTGAGCCCTCACACACACACACACACACACACACACACACACACACACACACACACACACACACACACACACACACACACACACACACACACACACACACACCCAAAACACTCATTCACATTGATGGAGAGGCCGCAGCTATTGGCCTACCGAGACACACCGTGCTCCGGTCAGAACAAATTAAGAGCTTAGCTTCCCCAGGTTGTTCACTCCAGGGCCACAAGTAGACTGACGTGTGTGTGTGTGTGTGTGTGTGTGTGTGTGTGTGTGTGTGTGTGTGTGTGTGTGTGTGTGTGTGTGTGTGTGTGTGTGTGTGTGTGTGTGTGTGTGTGTGTGTGTGTGTGTGTGTGTGTGTGTGTGTGTGTGTGTGTGTGTGATCCACATACCGTTATCTGTCTGGGAGGCAGGCTGATTGCTGAGAAGTGTCCAGGGGGCTTAGTATTTCACAAGACTAAAGAGTGTTAGAGATTACATTCTTGTGTTCTTTGAGAGCATTCTTCAGCAATAAACCAACACCCCAGACACGGGCTGTGCATACCAAATAGAATTATTGGGCCAAAGTACAAAGTAAAGTCAATTTTAATAGGAACCAATAGGAGGAATAGAGTTCCAAAGCTCTGGTGGCTTAGTCGTAATTCACAATGTGTAGTTTGGTTTGCTCACTGCCATCCTTGTAAGAAAACATTTTTGATGTTGAATAAAACTATAACATCTTCCATATAGGCTTCAGTTTTGTCTGGATTTAACTATTTGATTGGCTCATTTTATTGAGTGATTTGATTGCATTGGACTTTTTTGGATCGCCTGATTTGATAGGCCAGATGGATCAACAATTTTATTATTGAGTTGGATTTATCATTTTTATTAGCCATTTGTATTACATTATTTGATTGGCCCATTGGATGGAGCCATTTGATTGGCCAATTGGATTCAGCTAATTGATTGGCTCATTTGATCAAGCCATTTGTTGTCCACTTGGAACAAAGCATTTGAATGTCCCATTGGATCAAGTCATTTGATTGGCCTCTTGGATTGTCAATTTACTTTACAAGTAAAGTAACAATGGCATCGACTGAGCTTTTGTGTCTTCATAAAATTGATTGACATCTATAGAAAAAAGCCAGCAGTCGCACTGTGTGAACTTTGTTTAATCCGTCAGCAATAATAAGAAATATTTAACACAGACATTCACATCTAACATTCCAATTCTAAGGGCTGGAAGAGGAGAGTGGGGAGCCCAAACACAATATAATAGCATGGCTTTTTATATTGTGGACTATGTCCACCACTTCAGTCAGGCAGCTTTCTGTGTTTAAGTGTGCTGTCAGAGTACAGATTTCTGTTTCGACTTCTTTAGTCACCCATGGGCTCTTAAAGCCCCCCATACACTGCTGCTACCCCATCTGGGAAATCAGCCTGACCAGCATAAAATGCATCCCCTGCCCCCCAGACAGACAGAGAGAGTACAGAGAAAAGCCCTTCCATAAACGAGGATTAGTAGGGAGGGCAAGGGACCATAGAGGAGGAAGACGAGGGTGAAGCTTAAAGTGTATTAGTATTTACTTTTCTTCCTGGTAAGACCAGCTGATGCATAAATGTTGATTGACGTAAAGTCTACTACAGCATGACAACACATTGAAATTGTATCAAATACACCTGTTGGTACCAGAAATGCGTTGATATTCTCCCTAACAAAAAAATATGAGACCTCAGCATAACTAAAAAGCACAAACAAACTACAAAAAGGCAACGGTTCTTTGAAATTTATTGTTTCCAGAATTATTTATTGTTCCTGATGTGTCCTTGAGCAAGCTTGAAGCCTTTTTCCAAAACAATAATAAGAGGAGGAATGAAGTGTGCGTTCAGTGTTCCTTTTGTAAGGCCGGCTGATGAAATGTCCTCTGACAGATATGCCACAGTTGTCGTGCCAGTGACCCCACTGACCTTTATGGAGCCCAAGAGCTGCACACTTGTTGGCCCCTACAGTTTTCTTGATTTACCCCTCTCCAGCTGTAGCTTTTTTAATGGACACTTGTAAATACACTTTATATGGAGACTGCTTCTGCCAATATTTTTATTTTAAAGCCCATATAGTATCTCAATGTCCAAAAGAAGGACAACAATCTAAAATCTCAACTATTTAATAATATTAAGTGCTGTAACATATTCTGAAAAACTAACATTCTTTCAAATAAAACAATATAAACATATTTTCTATATTAATAAAACAAATTGTTTTCCAACCCAGAGCTTACTTCTATACAAATTATTGTATATATTTGGCCCTCATTCCCATTTCAAATAACTTGCTAACAGATGAGAATTGCTAGAATAGAGTCCAGTAAGAACAAAAACATTTTGATAAGGATTTAACCAAACCTACTGACACTCTCTTTAAAAATATAGCTAACTTTTAAACCTTAGAGAATAGGACACCCAATTGCAATCTTAAATATGACTAGTCTTGGTAAAATGCATTATTAACCTATACTGGTCAATATACTGGCCCATTAACTCCCGTTGACCTGTGTGTCTTTGAAGTTCATGAACTGGTGTGCTGACTTGGTGCCTCTGAGACGTGCCTGTTGTAATGATATGAGCAGATCAGGTTACAGCACTCCATTTTACTGTCCCTTTAGCTGCTTCACCTACCTACAGCACAGATCAGAGAAACCAGTGGCAGGATCACACCAAACTACGCCCCGACGGTGACCATCAGGGTTCGGGGTCAGAAGTAAACAGGACTGGTGTAGGGTCCTCGTGCTGTTATATATCAATTAGAGGGCAGGGAGAGGAGGGTTACGAAGAGAACAAACTGGCTTTAGACCTTTATTTATGCTGGTAAACACATCAACTCTTTCACAGATTCACATCAGGAATTGCCTCTGGTGGCGAGAAGCTATAATGCAAAAAATGTTGCCTCTGGATTTTTATTTGAGATAAGAGAAGTCAAATACAGATCCACCAAATGATTTTGCTCGTACAAATCCCTAAACCCATCTAAGGACATGTGTTTTGCAGTGTGCAACATGCCCAAACAAAGTAGATATTTTAGGAACAATTGATCTAAACAATGTTCTTTAGCCAACAAACGCAATAATGCAATCATTAAAATAACTAAAACATATACAAATCCAAATGTGATACCATGATATTCGTGTTTTATCGTGTTAGTGAAATGTTTCAACTGTCAAATTATTTTATTTTAATTTCGGTAAGAGTGTTCTCGACCAGTCTTACCATTTTCTCTCACATAGGGGTAGGCAAAAATGAGAGTATACGTGAATCCAAGAGATCAAATAGGAACAAATCCTGGATACGAACATAAATTAGAGGTTCAAATATAACTTCCTGTGTCAGGCCAATTGTCATCAAGTAATCTGGCGTTTTGCTGAACAGTCCAACATGTTTTCCAATTCGCCAATGTGCACAGAACATGGTAAACCTTGAATCTACTGTAACATACATACATACAATTGATACCCCTACAGTCCGTCGAGAACTCTCCAACATGATATTTTTTCTGGATCTGGATTATAATGTTGATATACTCTCTGTTTATTCCACACTCCTTTATCCTCCTTGTCAAGTAAAGGACAGAAAACAAGTCGTAACTAACACACCCAGGGAAGTGATTCAAGGTTGTTCATTCTTATGATGTAATGTTGTATGATGTGATTGGGAAGAGGATAGCTGCATGTAATTGATGCTATCCTCCAGAGTGGCATCCTCACATCACAGCGGAGGTCTGATTTACTTTGCCAGAGACTTGTTCAAGTCAAGTCATCTTCTCTGGAATAGGATATAGCATGCCTAACACACACGCATGCATACGTGAAGACGCATACACACACCTGGGTTTGATTTTGAACCGTGTGTTTGGGGTTCGGCAAACTTCAGACCCCTGCCAAAGACAGCTTAAAAGCAGAGAGCAATCACTCGCAGTCACTTTAGATTTAGCCCAGTTTGCATCATATTGCTGGACATGAAAGTACATAAAGGGATAAGACATAAATCCTGCAGCTCTCACAGACATCTGCTTAAGACTGGGTATTATGCACATACACACACACCAATCCATGCAGAAACACAGATGCACAGATGCACACAACATGTTCATACTCGGGACGGCCTGTGAAACATAGTTCATGTTCAAAAACACACGCACACGCACACACACACACACACACACACACACACACACACACACACACACACACACACACACACACACACACACACACTTTTCCAGTCGATACAGACATACAGTATAGACAGTAATGCACACGCACTGTGCCCTCAACCCTCAGGCCACTTGTTCCGTTAGAAACCAATTTTGCCAGAGTAGCTCACTTTTTAGGATAAAAGAAAATCAAACTAGGCAAAGTAAATATAGCAGTGATTTTTTTCTAATAAATGGGGAAGCAAGGGTGGACATTCCAGAGTATTACATTTTGGAGAGTTGCCTGGATTATGTTCCGCAACAATATTTTTTTTTTTTCACTTTTAAGTAAGTGCTGTGGTCAAAGTGCAATACTTTGGCACCTATGTTGCCTGATGTACTAAACAATATGTTCCTCCAACAAAACTGCATTGTCAAAGTGTTGATGTTCATGCCCTGTGTGAAACAACAACACAACCGTGACTCATTTTTCTTAATAACGTGACTTATTTTCATTATCTTCTTTCTAAATAAAGTAGTTCTGTGGACTTAACATAATCAATTATTTTTTGCATTTTTGTTTAGTTTTGTTTCAACTTACAAAGTTAACCAAGTCTTTCAAACTGCCACTCTAACCCAAGATAAAAACGAATTTGAGAATGCAGTTTAGTTGTATTGGAATGTTGATTAGTTGGAGTAAGGGTTGCACCTTTTCAGCAGACATAAGACACTTTGCTGACTGGGTAGCAGAAATAGAAAAATACATAACATATTATGATAATGATAAATGGTAATGCACTATGATTTAGATTTAACCATTTGGGGGTTGTGGACTCTGTGTTAATATTTACAATCCTCAAGAGATAAAGGAAAAGCTGTTATTTAGCCTTTTTTGTTCAGGCTTTGATGGCTCTGTATATTCAACCTAGGGCCATGGGCACAAACAGACTGTGAGCTGGGTGGGTTGGGCCTTTTTGTGTTGACGGTTAGCACACACCGTGTCCAAGTGTGGGGGCACAGCTCCCACTATCTTTACCATTCAGACCAAGACATTCTCTGCAGTGCAGCTGGCAGTGTGGAACAGTAGCAGGAGATCTAAAGTGTTTCTTTAAAAGTAAAGCTGAGAGTTTAAAGGTATTACCAAGGTTTAGGTTAGGTTTAGAAGCACTTTAGTTAGGGTTAAGAAAAGTTTGAGAGTTTGGGGCGAAAATAGAAATGTCTTTTATTGAGTACTTTTTATTATATACATTTAGATATTTATGATATTTTAAACCAGTCACACATCACCTCTGCACAAAACAACTAGATTCATGGTTGTGCTGCTTTCAGTCCCAGCAGGGAGACATTGTTTAACCAAGACAGACATCATAAATGTGAAGCTGAATCAGATTAGGATGTTATCTTTTCATTTAGTTCATGTAAGTACATTGTCTTATCAAACATAATGTCAACACAATCACTAATCATAGTGGCAGCTCTTCTCCTCCCGCCCCTTCAGGTTGTGTCAGGGTCTTTCACCAAATCTCTTTGCACGTCATCACATCATTATGTCTGCATACATTTTGCGTCAAGCTATTAAACTCCTGAGTACATTGAGGTGAAATATTAAGATTAGCTTCATCTCCTTTATTTTAGACCCCACTACTTCCCCCTGTTATTGTTAGAGCTACAGAGAGCTTGGACTACACTAATGAATGAGGTGACGCCAAGAAAAGCATGACGGGGGAGACTAAACACCAATGGAATCCCTCCCCTCGATTTTTGTCTCACTTTGTCTCACCCTCCTTCTTCCTATTGCTTTTTCCCAGCTCTATCTCTTTTACTTCCTCTACTTCTCCATTCTCTCTTTCAAGGGTGTTTCATTAACTTTACTGTGAGATGAAAAGCAAGTGGCCATCCTTCAGACTGAGAGCCTCTTGAACGCCTCACACTCATAGATGTGCCACACACCACACACACACACACACACACACACACACACACACACACACACACACACACACACA